GCACACCCATGTTTCTGCCTATAATATTGCTCCCCATATGTGAAGTAACAGATTTACTTTCACAAGCAGAGCATTATGGCTGGCCTTAATGCTCCACTTGATATATAAATTAAATTTTATTAGAATTTGCTTTGGGTTTGTTCCAGATGTAATGGAAACAGGGACGAAAAACAAAGAAAAATAACAAAGCAGAAAAGTGAGAGAAGGGTTCAAATGTAAAGAAGGAGACAGGAATAGAGGAGAGAGAGAGGGATAAAGAGAACACAAATCAACATCATTGAAGTCTGAATCTAGACCTGCGGAAAGAGAAAAAAAACCCAACAAAACCGAGAAACCACAACAACAAACAACATATATATAATGATACTTATAACATCATTAGAAAGTATTGTATACCGTACATGGTAATACAAGATATATTTAGTGGTCTCCACAACCCAACTGAGTGTGCATCTGATAAACATCTGAAGCTAAACACCTGTGTGAGCATGCTTATCACTATAAGGTTTCTCCACAAAAATGTTCAATAGTGGATGTAGGAACCCACAGACCCGTCCCCACAGGACACGATGGAAGGGAAGACCGGAACGACAGACACAGAGCAGTCCCCAAGCCCGGAACTCAGGGTGTCCCCCAACAGGGACACTCGCACCCCCCAGAGAGAGAAGCAAAGGGAAGCCCTGGGTGATCCCCAGCCACCACAACACAGACACCTCAGGAGGCTGCAGTGATGAGTCCACAGGCCCCGCCGGCAACCCGCCCCTCCAGAGTGGATCCGGCCATGGACACCAAGCCCCGAGGTCATACCACCCCCCAACAGAGGCCCGACAGAGCCAGGGCACCCAGGCCCCCGCAGGCAGCCACCAGGGTGGGCCCACACACACCCCACCACCCAGCCCCAGCTGCTGAGAGCCGCCAATGCACCGGCGGCAGGGGGGCCCACCAAGGGTGGGGAGCACGACACACCAAATGGGGGGCCAAAACTGATCCAAGAGAGGGGACCACCTAAAACCCAACCTGAGACATAAACAGGCACACAGAGACAGCCTGACCGAGCCTCTGTCGGGCCGTCCATGTGCCCCACCCGCCCGACAGCAACCACAAGCCGGCCCCAGGCTGGGAGCCAGAGCAGCAGGGAGCAGCAGCTGAGGAAGGCTGGCCCAGCACACCAATGCATCCCTACAGCCCCACACCACAGGCCCGGAGAGGCCCTGGCACACCACCCATGCACCCCTCCACACACACAGCACCCCCCACCGCGAATGTCACATCAGGCCGACCAGCCAGCCCCCCGTCGAAGTGAAGCCACGCCTCCGACCGCCGCCACGCACTACTAACGACAGCTATCTTGAAAAATTACAGCTATTGTTTTTTTTTCATGTGGATACAGTTGGGTTTTGGAAATTCTCTGCTTGTATCGCCAAGTGAAAGATTGATTCAGCACTACACGCATAACAGTAAAGTACTGTATATCGATATAAAAAAGGAAAAATGTTTTATATATCTCTTTGAATGCACACAAGTAGCAACAAACGTCTATATATCAAAAACCCTAATTCATTGCATTTTGGTACCTCTATAAGTCATTAAAATTTGATTTATGTTTAATTTACACTAGTAGATAAAACTAACTTAAGTTGTGATTTAATGTGAGATTATTAGAAATGTGCATCTGCTCTATCATAAAGGACAAATTCAACCTAACTCAACAGAACGTTGAACTAGGTTGAATATTTATCTATCCCTTTAGTATTATTCTGTGTTTTCAAGAGGACCAGACACCGTTTAAATGTTGTATTGGTCCCTGCTTGTCTGTTGATAATTATGGAGCTCTGCTCATCTCAGTCTGTTTGTTGAAAATGTGGGCCCAGAATACTTTGTGATATTTAATTACAGAAATGATTGTGTTCTATGTGAATTAATGGACTGAATGTCATTTATTAGTATCTACATATGTATGTACATATGTACGTATGTATGTAGGCATGCATGTAAGTATGTATGTATGTATGTATGTATGTATGTATGTATGTATGTATGTA